GTTTTAGTTGAAAGATGAAAAGAAGCTTGCCTTGTGTTGTTGAAAGGCCACTTTTACTCTTCATGGTGAATCCATATTTTGTTTTAACAAATCTATTCAAAAGAATGGTGACAATTAATGGGTGAATCCTTCATTTTAACTGATTCCCCTCAAGAACCCTCAGGGATCTTGTTCCTGTAATCTGGAAATTGGCAAAAAAATAAAAATTGTGTGAGTACCTATGTGGATTAAATCCAGATTGTTTTAGGACTTCTATTAACAAATTGAATATGTGATTAATTGTATGTGGAGCTTGATTAGCACTATCACTTCTGAAGCATTCCTAAAAGTTACTATCAATCTTGTAACCATCATTGTGATTTTACCTAGTTGAATCCTTTGAGTTGCATTACGATATTTAGTGTAATGGTGGTTTAAGCTTACGCTATCTGTTGAAGTTCTTTTCCATTGCTGTCACTACATTTAGGGATTTGTGTATCGTTCTACGTATGGATGATGTTTAGCACTGTAGTAGTTGTAAGTTTCTGCTGCCTGTTCCAAGTTCTTTTCCTTTGTCTCCTTGTGGGTGTTCCCTTAAATATGGATGGAAGCTTATTTTCTTCGTGTAATTGCCAAGTGCAAAACTTCTGTCATCTCTTTCTTATCCCTAAGATGGTTTGATTTGTATGAATACAGTTGAAAGAAAGAGCTGAGAAGCTTGAGAATTGGAGGATGAAGGTTGGAATACAAGAAGAGAAGAAGAAAGATAAGAATGAACTCTTGCGCAGACAAAGTTCCATGTGGATCAATGAAGGCGAATTGGATGGGAAAATCGTGGCCGCCCTGGCTAACACAACTTGTCTCTAGCTTCCTTTCAAGTTTCCCCACACAACTTCTTGCTCTTTCTGGTGCTTCACCTTCAGAAAATGAAAGTTTCGAATATATTGTCCAAAGGAATACATCGTCCAGACAAACAAGAATTCGTATTTCGTCGAAAATTTTATGAGTAGGAGTAATTTCATCCTGAGGTGTTTGATGGATCATGGTTGTCTTCTAAATCTGTGTTCATTTAAATTACTTTTACTAAGAACTGTGCTGAGTCCACAGTTGAAGACTTAGAAGTTGAACTGGTTTTTTCCACCCATAAACAGGAATTCTTAGTTGTAAAATATTTTTTAGTTGAAAATTTTGTGAGAATTAAGAGTCAGTTTAGCCAGAATGAGGCATTAGGCCTCTTTTATGGGTTGTTTGGTGCGGCGGTTTTTTCTAATTCAACCATACTAACTTTTGGACTTTTAATAATAATAATTATTACTTGTCGGTGGATTAAACAAAACTCCTAATAGCATTTGGACTTTCGGACCCAGTAACATTAAGTCACGTATAAGTGTATTTTTTTATTTAAAACAATGGTTTGAATTTAATCCCTTGTTAATTTATTCAAAAAAAAAATAAAATTATTAATAGCACTTAGGTCTTCGATCTAGTGATGATAAAGAATGGTTTAAATTCGACTTTTATAAACATGTTTAAAAAAAAAAAACTAATAATAGAATTGGTCTTGGATCTAATGGTTTATTCTTAAATTATAATATTTAGATTTAATTAATGAAGAGATTAATTTTTACCAATTGTTCGAAAATATTCTCTTTTCTTAATTATTCTTCATGTCCAAAAAAAAAAAACCTACTAATAGATTTGTTTTAATATTAGTTACATAATAATAAAAAGTAATATTTCTTTATTTTTTATCCTATATCATACAATTAAAATTTAAAACTTTTTATTTTTTAATAAAAAAAATTATCACTGATTTATTTACTCATTACCACACTACTAATAGTTATGTTATTCAATTATGTCACTCGT